TTTCACCAGCAGCAACAGCACTGAGATTTATCTCCTACCCTATAGCTGTTTACAGCACACTCTGGGGAGTTTACAATGTAGAAGCCTTACTAGCACATTGCCCCCAACAATCAGGGTCCTTTGACCATCTTCGGAAGAATGGAAGGCTGAGTAAACCTCAGGATTGAACTCCTGGCAGTGGGCAGAGTCAGCCTGCAGTTTTGCCTTTTAACTCTGCGCCAACCTGGGGATCTTGCAAGCAGTATTAAAAGGAGAAAGGGAAGAATTTCACACCCGCCAGCCTCAAAAGGAGACTCTGAGCAGGTGAGGAACACAAAGGGGCAAAAGGACTTCCAATCCAGCAAGAGGGAGGGTGTGGTGGGAGATGAATGCACCCACGAACCATTTCAGATGGACCCCAACACCACCAGCCCTGGTTAGGAAGACGCCTAAATTGCATGTGGCTTGAGAGAAGAAGCTCACTTTTTTTTGCCATGCCTGGTGGAGCAAAACTTTCTCTCCCCATGTTCTTCCCTTCCTCGTCCCCCCAAAAAGAGAAAAGGTCCTGTCAGAAGAATAATTTGGGATTCCAACTCTTAATCTAACCATCAACACTGATTGGAGGGACATGTCTGTACTGACAACCCTCCTGAATTGAATCCATGAACCCAGAATCATCTCTCCTACCTGATACCTTTTTTTATTCATGCAGAGTATTGCTTAATTATTCCAGGTGGCCTTGGGGAAATCCTGTGGTTCACTCCTGCTTCTGAAGCTTCTTCTTCATGCTTTGGTTTGAAACCAGCGGTTACCCATGAATTCTGCAGCTTGATGGACCTCATGGAAGGTGTCAATCAGACCCTGCAGGTGACCGAATTCTTGTTCCTGGGTTTCTCTGGCATGCCCAGAGGCCGCCCCTTCCTCTTTCTCCTGTTTCAGGTCATCTACCTCATCACTGTGGTGGCCAACTCAATGTTACCCATCTTGATCCAGCTGGATTCACGCCTCCACAGCCCGATGTACTATTTCCTCAGCCATTTGTCCTGTTTAGACATCTGCTACTCCTCGGTCACCCTCCCCACCATCCTGGTGAACCTCCTGCGCCAGCAGCCCTCCATCTCCTACAACGAGTGCATGGCCCAGATGTTCTTTCTGATGAGCTTTGCAGGGACTGAATCTGCACTGCTGGCTGTGATGGCCTATGACCGCTATGCAGCCATCTGTGAACCTTTGCGCTATTCTCAACTCATGAGTAGGAGGGTGCGAGTCCCTCTGGCTACAGCTTCATGGATCTGGGGCCTTGTTGACTCTGCCATTCACACTGCATTGGCCACCGATTTGGCCTTCTGTGGAAACAACCAGATCCATCACATCTTCTGTGATGTCCCCCCACTCTTGAAAATTGCCTGCAGTGACACCTACAGCAATGAACTGACTCTTCACACAGCAAGTATCTTTGTGGGGTTCTGCCCTTTCCTCCTGGTTGTCATTTCGTATGTCTACATCTTATCTACAATTCTAAAGATCCGTTCTAGCACTGGAAGGAGAAAGACCTTCTCCACCTGTGCTGCCCACTTGGTTACCGTCATTGTCTACTTTTCGATGATCAACTTGAATTACAACCGTCCGAGTGTGGGCTACTCCTTGGGTGTGGACACTCTGATCTCCATCCTATATTGTGTTGTCACCCCCATGCTGAACCCCCTAATCTACAGCCTCCGAAACAAGGAGGTCAAAGGGGCCCTACAAAAACTTCTGCGCACTCAGGAGAAGAACAATGCATCTCCTGGAAGACAGTGAAGGAAAAGCTATTGGTCTCCTTCCTAGTCTCTCTGTATATTCTGTCCACCATCAGCAATGATTTCTCCAGACTGACGGGTTGTGTAGATGTAAATTCAAATATAGCTGATTGGCTCAATGACATTTGGGACTCTACTCGCCATATCCTTCCTTCCTATATACTCATTTTGATTTAATCATTTAAAGGGGGAAGAGGAAAAAAGATCTGGAGAACTTTCTCCCACCTGCCTGCTCAAGGTATGTGCAGAAGGATCTTTTCCCTCTTCCAGGTCCCTTTGACCTCCACCTCCCTACGCATCCTTCAGATTTTGTCAAATGATGAACCAAAATTCCTGAATGTGCCTCAGCTGTTTGGGAGCCAGTCAGAGACATGGGACAATAGACTCTCATTATTCTAAAATACTAGATTATAATACTATAATTACAAGGCGGAGGCTGTGTGGGACAAGGAGCTGAGGCAGACGATGGAGAGAACAGTTGGAATAAAAGGTATCTATCCAGGACAAATGCTATGTTTGTTTTCCTGAATTTTCATTTGTTTCATCCTAAATGTGAATGGGACAGTGGGTAGGCAGAACCAGGAGACCCAAATGTTTCACCAGGAGGAAGAAAGTTCTGATGGTCCACTGCAAGATGAGGCAGAACCTTTCCACTTCCCCTACCTCAGGCAAGGTTGTGAACTGTTGTGTCCCTTGGCAAGTAAGACAAGGGCAGTGAAGAAGCT